CGGCCTTGTTGACCATGGCTTTTGTTGATCAATTGAAAAAAAAATATAAAGGAAGAAGAAATATGGAGAACGGCCGTAGAAGGAGAGAAGGATAAGTTAGTTTTTTAAGGTTTTTGTTTGTTTTTATTTAATGTAAAAAAATTTAAATTTTTTTTTTTTAAATTTAAAACTGATTAATAGGTTAAGGCTAAAACAGTCATTTTAGGTACTATAAATGTTAATTACCTAATTATAATTTAGAGTATGTTATATGTTTAATTTTTGGTGTAAAAGGTATTATATATGCTAATTACTCTTATTTTAAAAATAACAAAGGATAAAATCCCATAGTATATATTATTTCCTAATTCACTAGAGTTCCTAATTTGTAATTATTTTTATTAAATCAGAACAGAGTATACATATATCTACTTGCTCTCACCCACTAAACCCGTTGGATTCCCCACGCTTTCTTTTTGTTTCTCCGAAACATTCTCTTCAGCTATAACAAATCAGAATGCATTATTAATAAACCCTTCTTCTTCCCCAAATCCTCCACACACAAAAAAAAAAACAAAAATTATTGAAATTCATGGAAAAGTTGTCGAGAAGCCTAAGCAAAAGCTTGGGAGAGTTGCTAACGAGCGATAGTAACCATTTCTCTAGGAGAAGTGGTTCGATCGACGACCACGACGGGGAAGCTCTTAAATGGGCCGCTCTAGAAAAACTCCCAACCTTCACTCGTCTACGTACCACTATCTTCCAACCTTATGATCTCGTCGACGTCACTAAACTTGGTGTTGATGATCGTCAGAAGTTTATCGATTCTATCTTCAAAGTCACCGAGGAAGATAACGAGAAGTTCTTGAAAAAGTTGAGGAAACGAATCGATAGGTAATTATTTGTTTTCAATTAATTGCTATGCAACCATCTAATTCTATCTGATTCCCTTTTTTAAGAAGAAAACCCATCTATTTTTACCCAAAAAAAAAGAAAACCCATCTATTTAAAAAAAATATACTATATTGATATTGGATATATATTTTTTTTAAATCCTATTTTCGTCATTAAATATGTTTTTGATATAAAATCTCCAAATGATTCTGCTTCGGACTTCTTATTTTTTATATGAAATTTCTAAGATACGAAATGATTGATATGGCAGAGTCGGGATAAAGTTACCAACCGTGGAAGTGAGATTCGAGAATTTAACGATAGAGGCGAATTGTCACATCGGAAAAAGAGCTCTTCCGACGTTACCTAATGTTGCCTTAAACATTGCAGAGAAAAGTCTTGGTTTACTTGGTTTTAACTCAACTAAAACCACCAAGCTCACCATCCTTAGAGATGCCTCCGGTATTATCAAACCTTCAAGGTAATTAAAAGTTGAGACTAAATATTCTAATTTTTTTATATCATTTCAGCGTTGACTATTTTCAGATAATGTATATGGTTTTGGTGGGTTGTAGAATGACACTTTTATTAGGTCCACCATCATCAGGGAAAACAACTCTTTTATTGGCGTTAGCTGGAAAGTTGGATCCAAGCTTAAAGG